CACAACATGTGCTGCTGCCATCTCTGTAATGCACTGATCCACAACACCATTTATGAAAGCGGCATCATGAATCTTATTGGATGCGTCAATGGACTTCCAAAAAACAGATCCCATGCGGCAATTAACTAATAAGTTCATGACACTCCTAGACCTCCTATCAGTCCACATATATGTCATAATAGTCATCACAAATCTGCCCCAAGCATCCTTGTGGGTCTTCAGGTAGTCATTTATTAATTTCACATCTTTCCTTAACAAATGTCCCTTGAGCTCATAAGATGTAGGGGGCCTATATCCAAGGCCAAACTGCCCCACTGCTTCAATCATAGCATGAAAGCTTTTTAAACTGGCAGTATTAAATGGTAGACCCTCTTGAAAGTACCATCGAGCCACATACTGATTCAACTTTTCTCTATCCTTCCTCTTCAAATGACTCTCTAGAATACTTTGTGCCGGTTCTTTTTTGCGAACCACCACATCGAGATCAGGAAGTAAGAAGAACGTATCAAGAGGCCCTCTTCTTCGAGGGCTCTTATGCCCAATGGTGCTTGGTTATGAAGGCTCCTTCCTCTTCATCTTTAGGTATGATCTTTACAGAGGTTCTCATGTCTTGGTATCCCTTCTTGACCTATTCTTTCTTCTTTTGGACCTTTTAAGTGATCCAACAACTCTTTCCTGATCTCTGTAGGGATTTGAGTACATGGTGCTACATCCCCTCTTATGTCGTTCAAATGCTTTTTCAATCTATTAATTCCATCATTGTACTCTGTTTTGCAAAATTTGCAAGCTACTTTATTCTTGTCACTAGGGTTGGGACGATGTCCATATTTCTAACCCGGATCACTTTGTTTACTTGAAGCCGAGGAAGACATTTCACCTACAACCCTTATCTATCAAGTATCAACTTATCACCTAAGCCAGAAAATTACACAAAAACAACAAAGTCAAACTTGACAACATTTTACAAGAAGTCAAAATTGTAAATAAATGCATAAAAGCAAGATTAATTTACAACTACTGGTCCAAATATTTCAAACTTCAAATTAGTCATCCAAAAAAAAATTAAAAAAGGGTCATTGCCCCTTTAATATCTTGACTTAATAGGAAATTACAAAAAAATTACAAATAGGAAATGAAGTACAAATAATTGTTACATTCGCCCTTTAATATCTTGAGTTCTTATTAAGCCAAAACATAAATCTAGGTAAAACATACACATCAAAATTGCAATGACATAACACAAAATCAAAAAAACATATTACACATGCAATTATTTAATAAACAATAGTTAAACTAACTTATAAACAAAAAATTATGGGAACAAAAGTTATGGTTTAGGAATCATACAAGTAAAGTCATGTATAAAACTAAAAAAAAAACAATATTCATTCAGTTTGGAGGCAATGGATGTTTTTTTTTAATTGCCTTCCCAATGAGCCAAACTACATATTTAAATGGGAAAATAAAAATCCAAATAGTCAATAACATAAAAATATATATATCATAAAGTATAACAAAAAAAATACAAATAGCAAAGAATAACATCATAAGACATTGTAAAGAAAAACAAACACATAACCTAATAAAACTATTGAAATACATCAACCTTCTTGAAGTGGAATCGATATCAAGCCAAACCAAAATGTTTTGGCTCCCAAATCTCCTCTTTTACAACCACTATAAGCCCCTTGAGGAGGACGAAAAAAATTTCGATCTCTCTACAAATCTTAAAGTCTTGTTTTTTTCAAGTTTTTTCTCACTCTAAACTTCACTAAAAATGTTTTTGGGAGCAAGAATGGCCCCCAAAACCCTTTCCCCCCCTTTTTAGGGGTTAAAAGGACGTTTTTACCCATGGCCGAGTGCCATTTTCCGCCATGGGTCGAGGCGGCGCTGGCCTTTTATTATGCCTAGGCGAGGGTTTGAGAGCCTAGGCGGGCACCTAGATGGACCCGCCTAGAGCATGCCACCTTGTCCCCGACTAGGCATTTTAGGAAAAAGGCCGCCTAGGCGGCAAGGCAGCTGAATTTCAGTTCATTGTAAAAGACATGTACTCACATAAAGTTGATAAGTCTGAGAAATATTTTTCTCAAAGAAATGTATTTCCTTTACAGCTTCCCACACTCCCTTAGTAGTAATATAGAACATAATATCAGCTCTCACATGGGGTTCCATACTATTCCATCACTATGTCATAACATGATAGTTCTCCCTAAGCCACTTTCCGACTCTTTTGGCCATCTTTTGTTAGAAATTTCATCTTACCCCATGCGCCCAGAAATACCTTTATGGATTGGGCCCATAAAAGTAATTGACCCATTTATTCTTTAAGAGATTGTAGGAAATTCCTATTATGTCACTGACAGTAGGAACTCCTGATTTACTTTCCTCAAGAAAAAGAGCAAAACAATCACAAATAAGCAACATATGAAAGCATATGTCAGGCAACATACTAGAAACACCTTGAAAACTTGCTGAAATTTATAAATCCAACGATCCACAAAGACAAAATAGCAAATAGCCCACACAATAACCTCTCAATAAATCATAATGAGAACACTTATTTGTTTAAAAGCCGATGCACAAAGCTCTTCCCACTATAACACAAGATGTAACCCCAAAACAAGTCATTCACAACTTCTGCAACACATCTTGCAGCATTTCACACTAGTTCCTCTCAGCGTTTCACATCCAAGAGAGGAACTGTTAATTTTTATTTAAAAAGTTTTTGGAGTTTCAAAATCCCTTTTGATGTTAATTTTGGTGATGGTCCATCATGCTCTTTTGATATGCATGGACCACCACTTCTTCCTCCCACCTTTTTGTATTGTCTTATTTGTTTTTTTTTATTTGTTGCTTGGTCATGAGGACCTCACCTCCTTGCCCTCATGTGGGACAGGAGTCCATGCACTTGGCATTACACATTCTCCATGTGTGTGTCTCTCTCTCTTTAGTTGCCACTTCTTCCCTACATTATATTATTTCTCTACTATATAAGCCTTGGGCAAGAAAGAGAAAGCATATGGAGATGTATGAATTGGGAGAGTGAAGCAAGTGAAATGAATGGAAATTTCCAGCAACATTTTGAAGTGGGATTTGAGGTATTATCTAATAACAATGAGCTCATAGAATTTCTTCTTGATGTCTCATTTTCTTTTAAGTAAGATCAATTTCGTTGCTATGTTTTTAGAGAGTTTTTTGAGTATGCAACTCAAAAACTCTGATTGTTTATGATCTGGCTTTATCCTGGGGGTGTATTCACCAGATACCCTATTGCATCTCGGTTTTGTACAGGGTAGGGCGTAATCAACACTTCGAAGAAAGCGAGCTCCTCTCGTGCCTCCAAATCCCGATCTTTGTTGCCACTTTGTTTAACTTCCGAATCATGCTCCGATTCCTACGGGAATCTGACTAGTACTAGGAGTGTTTCGTTTTTCCATATATAACCTCCAAATCCTACTCTGATTCCTACATGAATCCGACTGGTAGTAGGAGTGTTTTGTTTTTCTAGATATACCCTCCGAATCCTGCTCCGACTCCTACGGGAGTCCGACTGGTACTAGGAGCGTTCTGGTACAATCCAAGCTTTATCACGGTCTAGGGGAGGTGCTGCCGAATTTTTCCTAGGTTGAGAGTAAGTGAAAGGCTTATCGAGCGTAAGTTCCATTTATCAGTAGGCAATCAGATTTATCTAGTGTAAGTTATCGGTCGTGAGTTCAAACTATCGACTGTGCGTTCAAACTTTCGACCGTGCACTCAAGCCATTGGTCGTGCATTCAAAATATCGACCGTGCGTTCAAGCCATCGGTCGTGCGCTCAAACTATCGACCGTGCGTTCCAGCTATCGACTGTCTGTTAGGTTTTCAACCGTGCGTCAGCTATCGCTACTACCTTGAACTAATAGGAACCTTTCAATGGCACGAACATACACAACACACAGAAGCCACCATGTTGGCCTTGCACAGAGAGAAAGGAATATTTCTTGACGAAATCAGCACTAACAAAATTAGGGTTTTCCCTCTCCCTTTTTGGGGGGTTATAAAAAGGTAGCTATTTCTTTAAAGATGAGAGAAGAAGACAACAAGCAAATTAGTATTCTGATACCATGTGAATAGTACTTATGAACAATATTGTGAGCAGTGTTGTGAATAGTGCCATGAACAGTACCGAAAAAAGTGGTGTGATCAGTACCATGACCAACAAAAAAGTTTCAAAACTAGAGAGAGAGGGAAAAGATGATGAAAAGAAAGAGAAAATAGAGAAAAGATGAAAGAGAAGAGAGGAGAGAGTGACATGATATTCAGTCACCCCATACCCCACTAATATCTTTATTTATAATGTTTGTTTAGTTACAAAGGACAAAGTACCCTCAATGAAAATAAGTATCCTAAAAGTATATTAAAAGGACATAAATGCCCCAATACACAAAGCAAGTTATTATTTAACACCTATAATTAAGTGTTTAGGTTGATGAATTCCTCATAGTCTTTGACTCTTTTGTATCATATTGTATCAGTGTGGACAACTGTTAACACTGACCTCATTGATAATAGTCCTTTACTAGCATTGAGATTTGTTAAATTTGTACCTCACATTATAACTTTGTTTATTTTAAAATTATGCTATACGTGTGCCTGGTTAGATCCTTCTTCAATATGTTTTTGCTGAAAAGACTTCAAATGCCTATAGAAGTTATTTAAAACCAAATCTCGATATAAATTGGAACTTATCTAAAATTACATCTGGAACTTCTAGAAAATTTCATATCTCAGTGAGAGATGTGAAATTGGCAGTGACTCAAACATCCTTTTCATTTCACAAATAGCCCTCGTGACCTCCAAATAATTTCAAGAAAAAACAGGGAAAGAATATTTTACATATAGAATGTTTCATGATATCTAGAGTAGTTCTCTTAATACTATCGAATCAGTTGACAAATGAAGGTATATATATATATATATATATATATAAAACATGGGCACCTATTGAATGAAATACCATACCTTCAGAAGGGTCTAAGATATCAAGTAAGTGGTGGGGTACTTCCTGCAAACAGCCATACACAAGCACTGTCATATTTTTTTTCATGCTAAAAAACTAGTTTGTGATACATTTATCAATGACTTTATCACTCACACCATATACCGAACCTAATTTACATTGAGTCATAGCAGAGCTACTTTTAAAATTTTGAGGGAATGGGATTGCCGAAAGCTTCAACAGCAGCCACAGCGAACACACATATGCGAATAGAATGATGCAGAAAAACATTAAATCATTCTAATTTCAGATTCAAATATTCTAATAAGCAACATAATGTCATGGCCTAAGATTCGTAGGGAATAGCATTTGATTTTCTGATATTTTCTGCATTGAGGGAACTGTTGTTATGTACAAGGGAATAAATCCACCACCAAAATCAAATTTGTCATCTCCACTCAAGGATAAATGAGATGTTAGGACAAGTAGCCATGACTCCAATGAGAAATGTCCCTTGGTAAGTAGATTAGGAAGAGGTAAAAGGGAAACAAATTAATTGGGTTAGACATGAAAAGACATTGTGAGTTGCAAAAAATATAAAGGTCCAATTCAGTATAGGATGAAAGTAAGGGATTTCAGGCTTAAAACCACCATATTGATGGTCAAGGCAGGTATGTTGAAGAAAACTTAAAGCCGAGTCAAGATGTAGAGACAAGTGAACAATTAGCAAGTACAAATGAAAGTTACAGCAGAAAGACCAGTCATATGGGCTCCTGTATTACTATCGCTGATGAAGGAGCCAGAGGGGCTTTTGTAGGACACTTGAAAGATTTTCCTTGCCTGTAGCCCTCAGAATTGAAAAAGTACCAAAAGGAACCATGGGAGGACCAAAAGAAGGCTCGTGAAGAAGAAAGAGGGAGAAGCCTGTGAACTAGATAGAACATAAACACTGTGGAGCTAAGACTATTACAGGTTACTGTCAGGAGAATAATGCAATACCATCTTTTTGGTCAACCACTCCTGGCAAACTTCATATATCCACATGGTAGCAGCAGCTTGCAGAAGTGCGGACAAACAAAGTTGAGGTCATAGATTGTTTTGGAGGCATGTTTAGTCTCACCTTCAGCTCACAACCAAGCTCCAGTTCAAGGTATATGCATAGATATCTGTACTGATGTTCCAAATGTTTGAGATAACGATATAAGATTTTAAAGATGTCATATAGGGACAACATTCAAAAAATAGAAAACGTGAATTTCCAAGGATCCTGATTACCATATTATATTTCAGAAGAAGCATAGAATCCAAAAGCTAAATCAAACTCCCTCTCTTTACCAGCTTCACAATAGAGATTTTAAAGGCATCCACAGTCTCAATTCATTTTCATCAAGTATTTATTTCAAATATCCAACCACCACATTCACCAGTTCCGCAAGATAATCCTGCTTGTACAAGCTAGCTCTTAACTACTTAAGAATACAATGATGATTTGTCGTGAACCAGGCAACTAGGAAACACTAAAGAAGCTGACAGAGATAACAAATTGGTAGTTGATGTTATTTATGAGCAAGTTAAGCTCAGTTCACCCAAATATCCAGTTTAAGCAACATTATTTGTACCTTTCTGTCACTAGGCGAAGGTTTTGCAGATCCCACGTCAAGTCCTTGGTAGACCTGCACACAGTGACATTGCTCAAGTACATGACAACTAAAAATTATAATTGCATCATAAAACAGTGGAGAAAGAAACTCAGTTTAGGTTTTTTTTTATTGATATCATAAGCTTAGAGCAAGTTTATTGCAGCATTAAGCACACAGCCATTGTACATGAACTTCTGGGCTGCATAAAGCTGAAGTCCTTTGTGAGATGATATTAAGTCCTGTAACATGCAAAGCACAATTAATCCAACTTTTGTCACATGTTGGCTATCCTTATTCGAGCATGTGAATATTTTGGCATGACAACGTGAATTACATTCCCTGTGTTAGAAAGAATGTTACGAACTTACAAGTTGAGAGGTGACATGCTGTGAATAGGTATTCAAAATGCGAAATAGAAATGCTGCATACTGGGAAGGCAGGTTTCAAGACAAAAAGGTGCAATATGTTGTTCTTCTTAGTAGGATTACCCATAGGAGTTTCAAAAAAATATTGTACAATTCATATGTTATGCTCATTATATCTACCAGTCCATTCAACACATAAACTAACAAAGTTGACAAAGTTCAAGGCGAGCCACGACCTGGACTCATCTAAAATGGAGTCGATCCCAAATCAGCAAACTCACTTGGCAAGTTTTTCAATAAACTAGGGTGAAAATTTCATGCGAGAAAAAAATAAATAAATAAATTTTCCCAATGCAAAGAGAAATTCACTGCATTTTGGCTATTCCATTTTGGAAGTGGTCTTCTTGACTTTTGGACAATGCTACTTAAGGTGCCAAAAAGTTAAATGCTACAAACCATGCCTACAAGGAGATCGTGAATTTTTAAAGAGTCCCTCCATATGAGAAAATTGGGGATTTTTAGACTGTCACATATATAGATATCCAAATCTAGCAATCAATATAAGTAGGACCCCCGAGAACAATCCCAGTACAATAATAAGCTTTACCATAGAAACTATGCCCCAATTACAGAATAAAAATGTAAAACATTAATAAAACTCCAGTGCATCACACCGATTTCAAGCCACGAAATGTAGTTGGGGCATAATTTATATGGTTAAGCTTATTATTGTATGATAAAAGTAGAATGCTAATTCGATTTATTTGAATCTTGAATGGGTACCATGCAGGCTTTCCAAGTTCCAAATGGGATATCTGAATTTAAATACATGATATTGTATTGTGTGCAATTTCACAATAGCTAATGAAGATAGTGTAATTTCAATTTTCTGATCATCTGTAGTTTACTCACTATTAAAAGATCCATGTTAGGAAACCCGTAGTGTTAAGTAGGATTAGTTAGTTTCCCATTTGATTAAGATTTGATAGATTTGAATATTTCAATTACGATTTAGGAGTTATCAAATTTGAGTTAGTTCCTTAATTTGAATAGGTCTGTTATTTTATTTTATTTTTTGATAAAATAGGTCTGTTATTTTGATGCTAATATGAATTTCCCATCTATGTGGGAAAGTGCTTGACGCATATATTGAGATTGAATAATGAAATGCGGGGAGAGAGAACCATTTTCTTGAACCTGTGCATATTTGCACAAGGAGGTAGCACGGTCTTGGACTATGTACAATCTTGGACTGTACCAGTTGGTATCAGAGCGAGGTCCTGGTATGCTTCAGAAGCCTCAGTACATACGAGGAATGGCAGAAAAAATGGAAAAGACTGAAGGAAAAGATTGCAGCAACACTCGGTGCTGTTGTTCGAGATATGTGAGACCCTCAAGCAACTAGCATCTTCAATGCTAAAAGTGGCTGCAGATCGATCAATCAATTAGACCAAGAGGACCGAGATAGAGGCATCAAATGGGGGAATATCTCGCGCGGTGATGGTGGAACCCCGATCCAAGCCTGATACACCCGTTTAGATTTCCAAAATTTAGCAATGATGATCCAACTGCAATTCTTCAAATTCCAAAATACATTAGAGGAACAAAAGGTTCTCTTGCCATCCTTCCACATGGAAGGAGATGCAGATCAGTGGTAACAATGGTATGAAAATAATGCAAACAACATTGACATAGGCAAATCAATTCAAAGCTCTCTATGTCTGCTTCGATCCCACAAAATATGAAGATTTCGATGCAGCCCTCTCCAAATTAAGACAAATGGAAACAATTCAGGAATATCAAAGTAATTTTGAGTAGCAAGCAAATCAGGTGAACAGGTATACGGAAAAGACATTGATCAGTTGCTTTATTGGGGGCAGAAGAAATTGGGATCGAAGTACAGATTTTCCAACCCACAACCTTGACGACCACAATCGACCTCGCGCATATGCAAGAAGAAAAACTACAATGCCTTAGCCTCATAGAAAGAGATCAATTCCACGAGGAGGTTATCACACCCCTGCCTAAGACTACTAAGACGGCAACCCCTACGATTAAGAAACTGACTTGGGCCGAGATGGAGCATCGAGACAGGGGGGTCTTTGCCATAATTGTGATAAAAGGTTTGCATCGGGCCACAAGTTTGAGTACCAACAACTATTTATGTTGGATGGTGATGTCAACTAGGGGAAGATGATCTGATAGGCTAGATTTCTAACCTTGATGGCAAGGTTGATTTGAAGGGGGCTGGAATGTTAGGAGCCCGTAGTATTAATTAGCAATAGTTAGTTAGTTTCCCATTTGAATAAAATTTGATAGATTTTGAATATTTCAATTAAGATTTAGGAGTTATCCAATTTGAGTTAGTTTCCTAATTTGAATAGGTCTGTCATTTTGACTTTGATTTTAATTACCCATCTACATGGGAAAGTGCTTGATGTACATATTGAGATTGAATAATGAAATGTGGGGAGAGAGAGAGAACCATTTTCTTTAGCCTATGCATGTTTGCACAAGGAGGTAGCACAGTCTTGGACCGTATCGATCCGCAATTATTTATCAGTTTTACACTGACTAGCAGCAGAGGTGTAAGATATCTATAGCGCATAGAAGGTAAAGCCTAAACTAATGTCCCATATTACACAAACAACATATCTAATTGCTCTAATACCATGTGAAGAGTTTCAGGTTTCTCTGAAGAGACTCTAAGTGTCCACTAATCAAATATGAATATACAAGCTTGTCTTATATAGACAAATATAGATGACAATAATAGAAATAAATCATAGACACCTATATTATACCCAGACTTACCATAAAAATACAAGATATTGTACCTACCCTTCTCATATATACTGAATACAATATACAACTTCCATATTAACCTGGTAAACAGTATATGCTTTCCTTTCATACTCCCCTCAAATTCAAGATACTATGAGACAGAGCAGTTGGAGTTTGAACACTAAGTTGCAGAAACAAGCAGTTGAATCTTCAGGTGAATAGCGTGACCAATAAAAGCAATGTTGTCATGCTCAGATTGTCTTGATCAACAAGAACAAAGGAACAACAAAACAGGGCAGACTCAAGCAACAACAGATCAACAAGCCTCAGAAACATAAGGCTTGAATAAAGTAGACTTGAGTAATAGACCAAAACTTTAGATGTTCTTCAGAGACAAAAAACAATTGCGTCGGCCGAAAAAACAGAATGACACTTGGAAGAGCCAACAGAACTCTGTGCAAATCCATGATCGATTCAACAACTCACAGACAGACAGACATGATCGAGTAACATAACAAACAGACTCAATCATACAGAAAAGAACAAGATTGAGTAACAAAATAACATACTCGATCATACAAGAATGGACACAGTGAAGATGAATCTCGCTTTGATACCATGTGAATAATCTCAAGTTTCTCTGAAGATACTCTAAGTGTCTATTAATCAATATGAATATACAAGCTTGTCTTATATAAACAAATACAGATGACAATAATAAAAATAAATCACAGACACCTATATTATACCCAAACTTACCATAAATATTGATTACAATATACACCTTCCATATTAACCTGGTAGACAATATATATTTTCTTATATTGGAAGTAACAGGTGGATAGAAGTGTAGCAGATGACGGTCACTTTGATGGTGGTATGGATGTTGGGATGACGATGGAGCATCAGCCAAAGCTTGTTGCAATTCCAATGGCATGAAACTAGGCTTTGATGAGAGAGAGGGTCATGAAGGTTGAACTAATGGATCTTGAAGGTGCTATTTATTTCTCTCTCTAAAGGATGGTCTTGAAGGTCGAACATATGGATCTTAAAGGTGGTATTTATTTCTCTCTTTAAAGGATGGGCATAAAAATGATAAAACTTTAACCTCTATGATCCATGAAGTCATGGCCCACAAGAAGGAAGCTTTAACAAGAGACTAACCGTAGAGAGAGAAGCATCAAAAGGAGCTTTGAAGGACGTTTCCTTGAAACAAAGAGAGAAAGAACCATCAAAACGGTAATTAGGTTTAGGGAAAACAAATCAGGATAAAGAGGAACAAGAATTAGAGCTTGGGAGCAAAGGCAGAGAACGAATGAAATCGAACCTGGTCTTCAAGAGTGATCTTTACAAGAGCTCAAGATCCAAGGCTGATCAACAAACATTAGGAACATAACAGACAAGCTCGAGCAAAAGCAAATTAATAGACTCAATCATACAAGAACAGAATAGGGTGAAAATGATTACTGGCTCTAATTCCATGTGAGAAAATCTCCCTTTTTCTATATTGTAATCAGTACATATGGGAAGGGTACGTACAATATCTTGTATTTTTATCATAAGTCTGAGTATAATATAGGTGTCTGTGATTTATTTCTATTATTATCATATGTATTTATCTATATAAGACAAGCTTGTATATTCATATTGATTAATGGACACATAGAGTATCTTCAGAAAAACCTGAAATTCTTCACATGGTAGCAGAACCAGATTCATCTTCTTTGTGTCCATTCCTGTAAGAACAAGTCTGTTATTTTGCTACCCGATCCTATTCTTTTCTGTATGAACGAGTTTGTTGTGCAGTTACTTGATCATGTCTGTCTATCGACGAGCTGCTGAATCGATCATGGATATGCACAAAGTTATGTTAGCTCTTCCAAATGTCATTTGTTTTCTCAACTAACTTGACTGTTTTCTGTCTTTGGAGAAGATATAAAGTTTTTGTCTATTGCTCAAGTCTACTCTATTCAAGCCTGTTATTTCTAAGGCTTGTTGATCTATCGATGCTTGAGCCTACATATTCTATTATTCCTCTACGCTTGTTGATCAAGCAATCCAAGCATGGAAACCACTGCCTCAACTGGTCACGCTACGCACATGAAAATTCAACTGCTTGTTTCCGCAACTTAATGTTCAAATTACAACTACTCTCTCTCATAGCATCTTGCGTTTGAGGGGAAGTGCGAAAGGAAAGTATATATTATCTACCAAGTTAATATGGAAGGTGTATATTGCAATCAATATATATATGGGAAGGGTAACTACATTATCTTGTATTTTTATGATAAGTTTGGGTATAATATAGTTGTCTATGATTAAATTCTATTATTGTGATCTGTATTTGTATATGTCTATAAAAGAAAATCTTGTATATTCATATTGATTAATGGAGTCTCTTTAGATAAACATGAGACTCTTCACGTATACAAAATGGAGAGAGAGAGTGGATTTTAATAAAAAATGCAATGGAATTGAACCTAATTTAGAACCATGAAAGATGGAGTAGGCCTTGCTTTACCTGAACTGAATCCGCACTGATGATTTGGCCATTAAGTTCCTTGGCAAGCTCAAGCGCTAGCCTGGTCTTTCCAGCGCCAGTAGGCCCAGATATAATAATCACGCGCTTCTTCCCATTCTTAGCATCCGAACAGAAACATCTCACACTTTTCAAACCAATGGTTTTTCCATAGCCATAATCCCACCTCCTCTTCTGAAACTTCAAAGGGCCAGCGATTCTAGGGCATGCTAGGGCATAAAAGCAACACTCCAGTCTCTGCAAAACCCTAAGCCCACAGCGCCAAGTTCCCGGTCCCATCAACTCGCTTCTTAGCTTTGTCGAAAGATATCAGGCGTTTTTATCTCCATTACGGATTTTTCATTATATTGGGTAGGCTCTGCTGCAATCTTAGTGTACGGCTGCGATGTAGTTGATGGGTGCGCGTTCGTCTAATTTGAGCCGTCCATTTGACCGCTAAGACGAGGATCACTTATTAGTCTGTGTTCAATGCGACTGAAAACCGTTCACGCTCGCCTGAATGCGAGCGTCGTGATTGAAATTTTATCATTCAATTTAGTAGGGATGAAAACAGACAGAGATGTTTTAAGTCATGTTTGATGATGGAATTTGGAAATCTTTAAGAGAGGAAAATTTGCATATCGAAATGTGTCACGAAATTAGCAAATACTTTCCTCCTCCTCTTTTTTTTTTTTTTGAACGGTAACGACATGACTTAATTAACTATAAACCTGAGTAGTTTTAAGGGGATCGAAATACATAGAGGTACATCACAAGAAATTAGTAATCACCAATGAGGATTGAAAAACACCTCCTTTGGCTAAAGAATCTACTTCAGTATTTGCTTCACGGTAACAATAGAGTATTTCAAACTCAAATGACGGAAAAATATCACCAATTTTATGAAAAATGGAAGAGAGTCTCCAAAGAACTCTCATTTCTCTTTTGCACAATGCTATAATATTCGCTTAATCTCCTTCAATAACCTTTTTTCCGTCAAATTTTAAAAGCAATTTAATTCCCTCCAATAAACGTCTAGCTTCTGCTTCATTGACTGTTGTATTACCACAAGGAACACAGTAAGATAATAGGATCCGCCCAATATGATCTATAATAAGCCCTCCAAAACCTGTCATTCTTAGATTTTCAAAGGAACTATTGTCAAAGTTGAGTTTATAGGTGTTCGAAGGAGGAGAGATTTATATTGCGCTCCAGATTGCCTTATAGCTATGAGATTAGCTACTTCATATAGATTCATTGTTATAAAGCTTTTGGGAATACCTACACAATCTTTATTGATAGAAAGCCAATTTACGGCCAATGCTAAAATATTTGATTTAAGGATAGATTCTTTTAATACAACTCCCTAGAAAACTCTTCTATGTCGCTATTTCCAAATTCTCCAAAGCACACTCACCCAAACTGACCTACATAAAGCAGTACCTATCTTAGAGATCCCTGGTTTTATCTACTGTTCAATAATAGATCTAGTATTTCTTGGAATGGGCACTTGAAGGTTGAACAACTGACAGGCCCTGCTCCACAAATTAATGCAAATGGGCATTCTAAGAAAAGATGAGAAACACTTTTGTTGTCAGCTTTGCATAAAATATAGACATTCATGATGTTGAAGCCCCTTCTCCAGAAATTGTCAACTGTTGCCAGATATTCCTAACAAAGGATCCATAAGAACATCTAAATTTTTGTAAGGACATTAATCTTTCTAATCATTCACAACCAAGGATCCAATGCACTGTGATGATTTTCAAACAACAAACACAGGTTGATTAACTGTGAAATCCCCAGACTTTGTACATTCCCAAATTGTAGCGTCTACTTTATTTGGTGAAATACATACATCCTTCAGCCTATTTAGCAAGTTTTGATACCCCTCAATGAAAGAATCTAAGACCCTCTTGTACCTACAAGGTAACGACCAAACAATGTTAGTAAAAACACCCCCACTTGCCACCTTTACAGTAGCTAGGGGGTTCAAAACTTTGGTAATTGCCACTTTTACAGTAGTTTGGGGTTCAAAACTTTGGTAAAGACCTCTAGATATTGGAGTCTCAAAGGCTCATCACCCAACAATTTATCAAACCAGAAGAGGGTTTGATCTCCATCACCAACCGCCTTCCTGATATGGTTCAAATATCATGCATTTCCATGAGAAGGAAAAGTTAGACTTATTTCTTGGACTCTTAATGAGTCATGTGAGGGTATCCTCTCCATATTTATCACTTAAAACCTCCACCCAAAAGGTATTTAGTTGAAAATGTATCCTCCACCACCACTTAATCAATAAATTGGAGTTCATGAAATTCAATCTTCTGATACCCAAGCCTCATTCCCTAACCAGATTGCAAATTATTTCCCATTTTGCCAAATAAAATTTCTTTTTTTGTCCACATCCCCCCATATAAAGTTTCTCATTAGCCTCTCAAGATGTTTGACAATTTGCATAGGCATACAAAATATAGACATATAGTATATTGGAAGATTAGATAAGGTAGACTTGATTAAAGTATATTCCCTCCCAAAGAAAGGGTCTTAGCTTTCTATAGGTCCAACTTTTTTTGAAATCTTTCTATAATTGAGTCCCAAATTGCTTTTGAAGGTTTAACGTCTATTAAAGGAATGGCCAAATACTTATAAGGAAACTTTTATATACCACAACCCAAAAGCTTCCGTTGTATTAACATCATATCCCAATAAGCTTAGTCTTGCTTAGATTGACCTTCAAACTTGTTGTTATTTCTACCCATTTAAGAAAAAACCAAAGCTTAGTAAGTTCCCTTTCACATAGATCACAAAATATAAGGGTATCATCTGCATATTGTAAATGGGACACCGGTAAGACATATATTTCCAATTTTCACACCAAAAATATATCCCTTGGAAGTAACTCCCTTGAACATGACACTGAAAAATTCAGCTATCAAAGTGTATAGGAATGGCAATTGAGGGTCCCCTTGTTTGACCCGTCGAGAGACTTTAAAGAAACCATAAACCTTTCCATTTATCTACAACGAAAAGTGAGTGGAACTCAGGGCTTCAATCCACAACCTCCAATGAAACCTAAAGCCTATAACACCCATTATATTATTTAACACCTCCCAATCTATTTTATCATATGCTTTTTCAAAATCCAACGTACAAATTAAGCTCGGCTTTCTATCTTTGATTCTTGAGTGAATTCTTGAGTCATCAGAATATTATCCATTATTTATCTCTATTTCAAAAAGGCTGATTATGGCCCTTAAACAACTAAGTGTAAGACCTGATGAACTCTATTAGCCAAAACCTTAGTTATAATTTTATACAAAATGCCCAACAAACTAATTGGCGGAAAATCTTTCACCGTTTGAATAACTGATTTTTTTTAAGAATCAGTGTAATGAAAGTAGAGATCGTGGCTATATTAATCCTTCCTCTCCAATAGAACTCCTCCATCAATCTAAACAAATCCTCTTTGAAAATATTCCAGAAGGTTTCAAAAAAGGCTAATGGGAACCTATCTAGTTCTAGGGATTTATCTCTAACTACACCAAAGATTGCCTCGTTGATCTCCTCTAATTCAAATTTTATTTCCAACCAAATAACATTTTCTAGATGGAGTCTAACAAAAGGTACATTAGCAACGAATGAACTCAAGACTTTTTCAGAGCTAAAGGACATCTTGAAGTGATGAGTTAGCACTACTTCCACTTTTAAAGAGTTCTCACAATCCCTGGATTTCAAGATTTTAGATAGATCATTGCATTTGCAATAGCATGAAAGAACTTAGTGTTCTTGTCTCCCTCCTTTAACCATTGAACCCTCGATCTCTGTCTCTAATGAATCTCTTCTAGTCTAAGGAGATCCTTGAGGGAGGCAATGCAAGTAGTTCTTTGAAGGGTATGCGGATGAGTTAGAACCCCCCTTATAAATTGGATATTATCAAATTCTTCTCTCTCTGTTTTGACTGCACTTATTTTTGAATGAAGGTTACCCCATGAGTCTCTTTTCCAAACAAAAGGTTAAGTTTCTTTGACAACTAAAACCCTTTCCCCCATCAACCTATGTATTTTTCTAGAAATTCTCAACTAATTCAATTAAAGATCTGTCAGTCAGCCAAGAGATTTCAAATCTAAAAGGCGAATGCTCATGTGGAAAACCATCCATGTTGAGTAACAAAGGGACGTGGTCAGAAGTCATTTTGGGTAATGCTTTGACACTTAATTTGGGAAAACGATTTACAAAATATTGGATAACCAAAAATCTATCCAATCTATGGTTAAAACATGCTCATCAGAATTGTGATTTGATCAAGTGAATTTTGCCCCAATCGATGAAATATCCACAACTTTGGATGAAATTATTAAATATTCTCATGCAAGAAGACATTTGTGGAATAAAAGAGAGTTCAGAGGGCTATCAAATAATGTTAAAATCACCAGCAATATACAAGGGCAGATTAAGAAAAACATTAAATAAATCATCGAAAAATAAAGGTCTTTCAACTAATATATTAGGACCATAAACGACAATCAAATACCATCTAACATCATCCAAAGGTCCTTTAAACAAAACAAACATATATCTTAAAGAGATGACAAAATCAATAGCCCGTAGAAAAGGAAGCTCTCATAAAATCTATGTACCTCCATTAAGTCGAACAACATCAAAACCTACAAAATCCAAATACCCCTTCCCCAAACTTCTAAAGTTGTTTGAAAATTTGGGGCCTCCATTTTTTTCTCTTGAATAACCAAAATGTTTGGACTTTCTTGACAACAAAAACACCGAATATCATTTTTACACAGTCCAACAAAAAAATTCCATTTTGAAACATATCTTTTCTTGTGCTTAGTGATCCCAAAGGAACCAACAGACATAGTGGGCACCAGCTCAGAGTGCGTACGAGAAAAGCACCTCATCCTTATCATAATTAATGTTGTATACCATGTTATCAAGCTCTCTCTGGACCCTTCTTTTCCGCTTAGATTTCTTCACCTTGTTACCTCCACTCTGTTCGACCATATCTTTCTCACGGACCGACCTCAGTGTCTTAGTAATGGAGTCCAAAGTCTCAACATAATTGATGTTCATAGCTTCCAACATGTTTCCAACTTCCATAGGATAGAGAACTAGTGCTAAATCATCTCCATCACCAGGATTATCAGTATATATAAAACCCTATTTGAAAACATCCTCCTCCTCAGCCACTAAAAGTCTCATTGCGAGTGGTACAACATCGACGGGTTCTTTAAGGTGATCACTAGCCCTATTGTCTTAATCCAAAGGGATAACTAGGCCGTTTTCTAACCAGAATTATTTACTCTTAGTACTTAGGAATGACTTATTATCAACGGCTTCCTGCTCTTCATCGAGATCATATACCCTCAGGGGCGAAACACTGGGCTCTGCCTTTGTCTTGACATTCTTTGACCTATTAGCAACCCTCCTTGTGAGAATTCTTCTTTCTGTCATTGCTTGAG